CTAGGTTGGCAGAAGCTGGGACAAGTAACGGGAGCTCATCCCATTACGCGGCACTAGGGATTCAAACCGCTGAACTGCTGACCTTTCGATCAACAAGCTCAGCATCTTAGCCACTGAACCACCACACCTCTCAAATTAAATTAAGGAAATTAAGAGGGTTGAAATCAAGACCCACTCAGAAGGGGTCAGTTGGGAAGCTTGCTGTGTTAGGGTACATAGGAATCCATTTATAATTTATAATCTATATTTATAATCTGAAAAATCTGTTGCCCCTTCCATCCAATGGACCCAACACTGTTGGATCCCTTCTCTTGAAAACAACAATATCAGACGTACTAAATTATCAGAAATTGTACTTGGAGTGGGAAAAAAACCCACTGGTGCTTTTTCTTTGTCTAGACATTCTTTCTCATTTGCTCCTTGCTACATACAGTTCAAAAATAGCACCAGACATTTCTATTTTATTGAATTTTCATAGCTGGTTCCCTTGTTCTTGAAAGATTTATTCAATTTTTCCATATCAGAGATAACTCAGGTTCATATACAACCTGCCATAACCTAATAACTATTATTTTGTTTTGTTTAAGTCTATCATTCATTTAACAATAAAAATGCCACTATATTCCCAACCGTAATGCAAAAAAAAAAACACCCCAAACAAACTGGTATAAACAGTAATTCTCATTATCCCATTATAAAAGTCCCAGATAATCAGATGAGTCCTTGAATAAATGGATGCATTCTTAAAGTGAGAAAGATAACATTTGTGTGACTGGCTCAACATCTTTAAGAGAGGATAAGCATGTATAAACAGATTTATGGTATGTACCTGACTCAGGCCCAACAAGTGATTGATAAGCTGCCAAGCTTAATACGTCTATCATAGCAGGTAGGGAAAAAATGTAACAGGTGAAGTGTTTTTTTGGCCTTGGGACACAATGATCAGGAGGAAAATTTTTATTTCCTGGATTTTATTTTTCCAGGTGAGGCTAGTCTGGCAGGGCAAAGCAACTCTGTACAGGTAGTCCTCGACCTGCGACGGCCATGGAGCCCAAAATATTTATTGCTAAATGAAACATTTGTTAAGTGAATTCCCCCCCCCCATTTTACGACCTTTTATGGCAGCGTTGCTAAGTGAATCACTGCAGTGGTTAAGTTAAGTAACATGGTTGTTAAGTGTATCTGTCTTCCTTATTGACTTTGGTTGCAAAAGGGGATCATAAAACCCCGGGATACTGTGGCCGTCATAACTATGAGCCAGTTGCCAAGCCATCTGAATTTTGATCTGGTGACTGATGGGGGTACTGCAACGGATATAAATATGAAAAATGGTCATGACTTTTTTCAGTGACGTCGTAACTTTGAATGCTCACTAACTTTGAACTGCCTGTAAGTCAAGGACTACCTGTCTAGATCTGAGCAACTGCACAATTTAAGCACACTCAGTTTCCAGCAGTGCTTTCCAGGAAAGGTGATTTCATGAGCTCAGGTTGGTCTCAAGAGAAATTAAGTAAGTAAGTCACCTGCAATGCTTTCCAGGAATGCAAGGTGTCCAGGGACCGACAGGCTACTGCCGAAGGTATTCAGATTATAGTGTCGTTTTCTAGCTTCTCCCTCATGTTCGAACACAAGAGAAGAAGCTTCGTGGCCAAAAGAGAACCAGGATTATTAAGGGGGCGGGGAAGAGCCACAATCAAGCGTGTTTATTTGTCTCACTGCAGCCAAAGGCAAGCTTCTAATTGCCATTTCTTTCATTGCAGCTGTCCTACCTGTCAATGACTACTTCAGCTTCAGCCACAACAATACAGCTTCTTCTCCGGTAACATTGTACTGCAAACTAGAGCATACAAAACCTTTGCTAGACCAATTCTCGAATACAGCTCGTCTGCCTGGAATCCACACTGTATATCAGACATTAATGCAATTGAGTGAGTCCAGAGGTATTTCACAAAAATAGTACTCCACTCCTCTGCTCGCAACAAAATACCTTATGCCACCAGGCTTGAAATTTTGGGCTTGGACAACCTAGAACTACGCCGCCTACGGTCCGACCTAAGCATAGTTCACAAACCGCTACAATGTACTACCTGTCAGTGACTACTTCAGCTACAACTGCAATAATACACAAGCACACAATAGATACAAACTTAAGATAAACTGCTCCAAACTCAATTGCAGAAAATATGAGTTCAGTAACACAGTTGTTAATGCCTGGAATATACTACCAGACTCTGTGGTCTCATCCCAAAACCCCCAAAACCTTAACCTAAAACTGTTTACTGTTGACCTCACCCCATTCTTAAGAGGTCTGTAAGGGGCGTGTATAGTGGTGGGATTCAGCCAGTTCGTACCACTTCGGGAGAACCAGTTGTTAGCTTTCTGAGCAGTTTGGCAAACTGGTTGTTGGAAGAAATCATTAGGGCAGAGAACCAGTTGTTAAATTACTTGAATCCCACCACTGGCCATGCATAAGAGCACCAGTGTGCCTACCGTCCCTGTCCTAATGTTCCCTTTAATTGTACTCATTTTATGTATTCAATTCATGCTTATACTTATATATATTATCTAATATGTATTCGACAAAATAAATAAATAAAATAAAATAAAATAATAAAATAAAATAAAATAAAATAAAATAAAATAAAATAAAATAAAACAAAATAAAATAAAATAAAATAATAAAATAAAGGTGGACAGGCTGCCAAGGTTTTTCGTGGCCTTTGCTCTTCGGCATCTTCATTGGTCTGTTTTGCAGAGATGAGTACCATAGGTGAGAAGGTAGATCTACCTGCTTTAAAAATTAGTTTCCAGCTGTCCTTTTTCTGCCCTTTGTTGGGCTTAAAAGTCCAGTGAGTGGCCAAACTCAACCTGGCTTTTTTTTTTTTTTTAAAGCCAATTAGGAAAGGATTGCAAGGGATTTAGGAGGAGCAACGTGGCCAAAAAGGGATGTGGTGGCTCAGTGGCTAAGATGTTGAGCTTGTCAATCAAAAGGTCGGCAGTTCAGCGATTCGAATCCCTAGTGCCACGTAACAGGGTGAGTTCCCGTTACTTGTCCCAGCTTCTGCCAACCTAGCAGTTTGAAAGCATGTAAAAAATGCAAGTAGAAAAATAGGGACCACCCTTGGTAGGACGGGAACAGTGTTCTGTGCGCCTTTGGCATTTAGTCATGCCAGCCACATGACCATGGAGACGTCTTCGGATAGCGCTGGCTCTTCGGCTTTGAAACAGAGATGAACACTGCCCCCTAGAGTCAGGAACAACTAGCACATATGTGCAAAGGGAACCTTTAATGTGTCCAAAACTCCTGCCTTATACAGGTAGTCCTCGACTTATGACCACCATTGAGCCCAAAATTTTCAGTTGTTGAGACATTAGTAAAGTGACCTTTGTCCCATTTTACCACTTTTCTAGCCGCGGTTGTTTAAGTGAATCCCCGTTGACTTTGCTTGTCAGAAGGTCCCAATATGATCTTTTTAATCTTTTTTATTTTAATTAGATATGGGCCAAACTATTTAATATTTTAAAATTGTTTTTAAATTTTATATTTGTGTGTTTTATGCTGGCTGTACACTGCCCTGAGTCCCTTTGGGAGAAGGGCGGTATATAAATAAAATAAAATAAATAAATAAATAAATCTTTTGACGCTGCAAAGCTCATAAATATGAAGCAGCTGCCAAACATCTAAATTTTGATCACACGATCAAAATGGGGATGCTGGAAAGGTGGTAACTATGAAAAAAAGGGACTACCTGTATTTCTTAAGGGCAGAGGCCAGCAGGTTTGCCTTGCCAATCCTAGAGACCCCTAGAGACCCCATCCTCCTTTATAGACTAAGTCAGTCTTGGACCATGAGCAGAGATTCTGTACGTGTACTGGAAAATTGCGTATGTTGTGGGTGTATGTGGGGGGGTATGTTTGCCTTGGAAGCGGGCAATGCTTAGTAAGGTTCCCTCAGCTGTCCTTCCATCTCACTGACTTTTCTCACCAGGGTTAACAGAATAATAGAGTTGTAAGGGACCTTAAAGGTCTTCCAGTCCAACCCCCTGCTCAGACAGGAAATCCTACACCAGTGGTGTCAAACTCGTGACATCACATGACTTTTTTCCACTTTGCTAAACTGGGGGTGGGCTTGGCCAGTGCATGACGCATTCAGCTCATGGGCTGCGAGTTTGACACCTCTAGCCTACACCATTTCAGAGAAATGCTTGTTCAGTCACTTCTTAAAATCTTCCAGTGTCATTCACAACCTCTGCAGGCAAGTTGTTCCACTGATTAATTGTTCTAACTGTCAGGAATTTTCTCCTTAGTTCTAAGTTGCTTCTCTCCTTCATTACTTTCCACCCATTGCTTCTTGTCCTGCCCTCAGGTGCTTTGGAGAATAGCTTGACTGTCTCTTCTTTGGGGCAGCCCCTGAGATATTGGAACCCTGCTATCATGTCTCCCCTAGTCCTTCTCTTCATCAAACTAGACATACCCAGTTCCTGCAACCGTTCTTCATATGTTTTAGCCTCCAGTCCCCTAATCATCTTTTTGTTCTTCTCTGCACTCTTTCTAGAGTCCCAAATCTTTTTTTTTTCTTTCTTTTTTACATGGTGGCCATCCAAAACTGTATTCCTTACCAAGGCCACTTCTAAAGTGGGCACTAACACTTCGTGTTATTAACCGAAGTGGGCTGCCCATCCGCCTTTTTCGCGCAGGCAAGAGCTGCCTGGAGGAGGAGGAGGAGGATAGTAACAGTAACAGAGTTGGAAGGAACCTTAGAGGTCATCTAGTCCAACCCCCTATTCAGGCAGTAGATCTATACAAGGGAGGAGACCCTCCGCCTCAAGTCTCTCTCGGCCACGGGTCGCGGGTGGCCCTTCCCGCGAGCCGACTAAGCAGAGCCCCGTTGACCTTCCGCCGCGCGCAAAAAAAAAGCTCCGCTCCCCTACCCAGACGCGCTGAGCTGAGCCGCCGGTTCGCGCCTCGCTGGGGCCGGGAGGAGGGGACTGGCGGAGGCCGGCTGGCTGTGGCTCTCCGCGTCTCTGCCTCCGATGCTTTCCCCCAAACTTGTAACGCTGGCAGCTGCCCCCGCTCGCCTGCCCGCCTTTGGCCAGGAGTTCCTCTTGGAAGCCTACCCGCTGGCCGCGTCAGTCAGTCAGTGTGCAGGCAGCGGCGGTAGGAGGAGCTCCTTCGCGGCAAGAGGAGGAGGAGGAGGAGGAGGAGAGGAGGAGGCGGCGGCCGGCGAGGCTCGGAGCTCGGGAATGGAGCGGCGGAGAGCGCGTACATGAGCGACGAGGCCGGCCAGCTCGCCAGTCGACGGGCAGCGAGGGAGGAAAAAGGCTGAGGAGCCTCCGCTGCTGCTGCTGCTGCTGTTCCTGTTGCTGCTTCGCTCCGGCTCCGCTTTAGCCGCGTCTCCAGGCTCTCTGTTGCCGCCGCCGCCGACAGCCGGGGAAGCTCGAGAGAGAGGGGGAAAAAACCCCGAGGAGCGCCGGCCGGGAGGATCGCTGGGGCGAGCGCTCCCAACTGTGGCTGAGCCCGAGCGCGCAACTTCGTCTCTCTTCTCCCTTCCCCAACTCCGAGGAATGAAAGCTTTCCAGGCGGATTTGGCTCTGCTCTGCTTCTTTCTTCTCAGCCAAGGTAAGGAAGGAAGGAACCCGGGGAAGAGGTCCTCGCCTTGGGTTACTTTTATTTTATTTTATTTTATTTTTCCAGCGGGGGATGGAGGATCGCGGACTCTGGATGGGAAGGAAGCCCCGCCGACCTGCGCTAAGAAAGAAAGAATGAAGGGGGAAAAAAAAAAAAAAAAACTCCTGGCGACTTTCTGCCCGGAGCTGCTCTTGCACCCTTCTCTGGCTCTCCCCGCGCTCCGGAGAGGAGAAGGAGAACCGGAGAAAGGAGGGGAGATTTGGGGGGGGGGGGTTCCCCTCTTTCGGAACAGCTGATGGGCGGCCGCCTTTCATTGCTCGGCTTGCTTTCTTCACCTTCTCCTTAAAAAAACGAGTTTTTGCGCTTTCCCCGCGACGGTGAAAGCGGGTTGGAGAAGGTGCTCTTTTTCGCGTAATGTCTGGAAGAGGGAAAGGAGGGTGGGAGGAGGAGGAGAAGGGTGGTCGCGGAGGGCTGGACGTAGCAACGGCTCCTTCTTGTCTTGTCCACGTTTGAGCAGAAGTCTCGACCGGGGGAGGGGACTTTTTGTAAGGATCCTTTCATTCCGCCATAAGGGGACCCCGAGCGCTGCCCCACACCCCCAAGTGTGTTTTGGTCTGGGATTTGCCGGTTAAAGGTTTGGTCCTTCCTCGGCGGACTCCGTGGGTTTCGTTCAGGTGTCGGCGTCTCTTGGATACACCGAGAACCGCCGTGCGATTTTGCTAGGGCAGACAAAATTGCCTTCGGTTGGATTTGGGGGGGGGGGGGGCTTCAGCAGAAAGAAGCCTGTAGGGTTAGTGCGACGGTAGGAATATGACGCGGTCAGGTTTGCTTTCAGGGGTCAGCAGCATCCTTAAAGAAAAACAAGGAAGGCGTGTGTGTCTGTCTGTCTGTCTGTCTGCAGGAGAGAGCTCAGAAACAAGAGAAAAATCCTGTATCCTAAACTTGAATCCTGGCAGTTTTCTGCTGCGATCGCCTTGGCTTAGAAAAAGCAGATCCGGGATAATTTCTGGAGGTGGGATAATAAACCGGCTTGGATCCGGGATGTTGGAAGGTCACCTGTGGAGTTAGAGAGTTGGGATAACTTCTGCTTTTCAGGTGTCATCCTAGAGTAACAGCCAGCTCCCCGTGCCAAAGCTGTGGTCCACCTGAGCCTTAAGGTGACATCCACCTGTTCAAGCTTCCTGCTCTGGGAGCATGAGGTTCCTGGGTGTTTTTGTTTTGAGGAATCCAACAGGTTTTATCTGTCGATTAAATGCTTGTGATTGCCAAAAGGTAACCAAAATCTATCATCCTTGTCTCCTTTGCTGGAAGTTATGAGACTGAGTAAATTATCTCTGTGCTCCGCCGTTTCATTTTCATTTTGTATTTTATTTTGTTTGTGTAGGGTTAGTTCTCTTATCCCCTTTCCTTCTTGAATATAGATCAGAATGGCTTTTTTTTTTTTTGCTCCTTTCCTTTTTGAAATCAAAGTATGATTATTATTTTTTTATAAGCTCGTGGGGCAAAAGCTGCTTTCCAAGAAGCCAAGATTTGAGAGCTGGTCAGGTCTATTTCCTCTACAGACGTCTTGCTCTTGATTATAATTTTTGTGATGATGATACCAGCAGTTCTCCTCCTCACCTTCTGGTACCAGGAATTGCTACGTTGGAGGAACATAACAGACAGGCATTTAACCTGGGATCTAAGAGGGGTTTCTTTTCCTCCTGATTTTTCTATTTCAGAGTCTGGGGAGGCAGGAGAGAGGAAGGCACCTTGAAAAGTATAGCCATTCAAATTCCAAAACTCTTGTCTGTGTGTCCTGTAAAAAGTGTTTCCTCTAGGTTTTGTTGGTATCTTTTGGGGTGATAGTGTAAATCTTCTGCCAAAGCTATTCCTGTTCTTTTCTACAGTGGAGTAATTAAACTTGTGTGTGTGTGTGGTTATATTTGAAGGCACAAGTGATAGGATGGCAGGAAACTGGGTTACTAGTCCACCAAAACTTGCCTGGGGAATTTGGCATTGCTTTAATCCTTTTGCTGTAAAGACCAAGCCAGCATCTAAAATACTATTAAAAGATTGAGCGAGATGAGCCACATACAAGAAGTTTTCTCTGCCAGATGCATATCTAAACGCATTTGCTACTGGTGGGACTTCTGTCCCATGCATCTTTAGTAGATTGCGACCTTTAGTAGATTGTTTTTCTGGGGTGAGATACTAGAGACATTTTTTTTTGGACATGATTTCTTCCTTGGCTGCGAAGTTTGTTGGTCTTAGCACTGCATGCCAAATTCTTCAGTGGCTACTTAAGTTTTAAGACTACTATGTGCTGCCCACAAGGCTGTGGAGACTAAAAGCCCAGCAGTATCAATTAGGAAGCAAGAACAAGCACTGGTCTAGTCCTTAAGGCTGCAGGAAGATCTGCATTGGGCTAGGGAGGAAAAATTAACTAGCTACAGAATAATATTGGGAACTGGGAACGAGAGGGGATCTATAAGGTATTTGTGTCTGGCTGAGACATATAAATAAGATTACTGGGGACAGAACTGGGAGGGTCTCCAAACAGAATACCTGTTTTATCTAGGGTCTCACGAGAATGTACTTTTGTGTGAAATAATGTCCATTCAAGTCCTTCAAATCAGGGGGTCAAAGAAGGTGAGCTTTTAGAAAGGGGTTCATGCCACTCAATCTTGGGAAGCGATGCCTAATTATCAGATGGGCGTTATCTACTTATTGTTTTCCAAATCACTTGTTTTGTAAGGATTGTTCTGCATCTCTGCATTCCCTGTAAGCAAGTCTGAGTTTGACTTCTCTTGGCTCGTACTTCCTGGTGCAAAATACATCCACTGTTTTTTTCCCCCCTCTTTTCTTTTTTGGAGGAGAGCCTACTAATATGCTCCTGCATTCCTGCAGAGCCTCTTAGCGGTATCATTTTCAGACTTGCTCTTCAAAGCCAAATTTCTTCCGGTTTGTAACCACCAACGTGTAAATGTTCAGGGGTAAGTCCACAGTGCCCACTCCTCTTCCACACCTATGGTATCTTAAGTGAGATTCTCAGTACTGTACAGTAATTAAAGTGGGAGGAGATATAGCAAAGCACAGATGGAAGGGCTCCATTTATAGTCATCTTAAGTTTCCCTTAAGATGGCACAGCAGCTCAAGAAATTGCTTCTCTGTGGGTGGCATTAGGCTTCTTGGTCAGCATGTATATAACTAGCCTGTATTCTGTCTCGGGACGGATAGATATGTGTTTGGTCTGTTCCTCCCACATTACTGATTTTTTTCCCTTCCCTGCTGCTTTTTCTTTCCCTAAACTGTCAAGGCTACAGTATATAGTATGTCATGAAAACTAGTATAAAGTCATGAGACAATTCACCTCCTACTAGCATCTTACATCAGTGATGTTCCATGGTAGAAGAAATATGTCCCTGTCACAAGCAAAGCACAAAAGCTTTTGGTAATTACTGATTTTCTTACGTTTTGTTTTGAATTTTTTTTTTTTATTTCCTTGCTCTGAAATGACTTAGAGTAGAAATAAGGAAAGAGCCCTCCTTCTCTCGCACCTTCTCGTCTGGTCATCTCAGCCCTGTTAGCATCCTCACGGAGTTTTTGAGTGGTATGTTGCTGTCACGTAACTAACCTCTAGAGTTGGTGCTGTGAGATCTTCCATCTCTACCTCCTCCACTTCCTTCCCCTTCTCCAACTATAAAGGTAAAGCTTCCCCTCACACATATGTTCCTGACTCTAGGGGGCAGTGCTCATCTCCATTTCAAAGCCGAACAGCCAGCGCTGTCCGAAGACGTCTCTGTGGTTATGTGGCCGGCACGACTCAATGCCAAAGGTGCACAGAGTGCTATTACCTTCCCACCAAAGGTGGTTCCTATTTTTTTACTTGCATTTCTTATGTGCTTTCGAACTGCTAGGTTGGCAGAAGCTGGGACAAGTAATGGGAGCTCACCCCGTTACGCGGCACTAGGGATTCAAACCGCTGAACTGCCGACCTTTCGATCGACAAGCTCAGCATCTTAGCCACTGAGCCACCGCATCTCCACCACATCTCCAACTATAACATTCGACAAAGGACTTGCATATCTGAGTAGCTTGGGAAGAAGCAGATCTAATGATCAAGATGGCTAAAAACTGTGGGGAAAACGGATTCCATACTTTGAGAATCTGTCGTGGGTTGGCCCACTTCCTCCACCGTTGTCACACTTGTCCCACTGACTTGTCTGATACTTTTTCGGGTGTGTGTGTGTGTGTGTCAGTTTTTCTTTTCTTTGTAAGCAGGAAAGATTGCAAAGATTGCTGCTACTTCTTTAATCTGGTCACTTAAGTAGAACAGCTGAATGGTAAATGATAGCAGGTGCACCTAGGGTTCTGTTATGGGTCTTGCCATGTATACAACAATGCAGATCTCTGATGCCATTTCCAAAATGTAAACCAATATAGAAAAGAGAGGTCCTTCTTGGATAAAGTAACATCAGCGAGGCATGTTCTAGTCACCTTCTGTTTGTGAAGACCTTCTCTTTATGTATTCAGTGTCCACCCAAAGGAAGACAAGAGTCAGGCATTTTCTGCATTCCCTTTGGAGTAGTTTCTCAAGGAGAAGTCCTATGACATTTTTCAGGCTATCCACCAAGACTTCAGATTGTATCTTATTTATCATTCAGTTTTTCTGCTGCTCTTAGCAGTATTTGATATTTTGCAATCTGCAATAATACCTAACATATTTAATGCAGTCTAGTGCAGAACTTGATCATCTGATCATTGCTGGGTGAAAAACCAACAGGGAACCAGCCACAGTGAATAAAAATTGAAAAGAACTAAGCTATTAAAATTAATAGTGAGATGCTCTTTTGCTCTCAATTCCCTTTGTAAAAGAAAGTTCGTGGAGAATTTAGCTAACGATAATCAGTATTCCTCTTGGAAATATTACCTGTCCAATCTTTTGTGACAGTTCCTCTATGTGTAGGTCTAACAGACATTTAAATACATTCCCTGTGTTTTTTCCCCTC